CTAGGTGACGAGCGTGTGGGTGTATACCTCAAGGGATTGAGACTTGGTCCGTCCCGTGAGGTTGCGAGGCTTAATAGCTATTATTTGTGGTTATGTGTTTACTTGTTGTTGAACTTGTTTTCCTTCATGTTAGAGATCATGCTTAGGCTTTATTCATGCTTACATTATTTGTACTCAGTCATAGAAATTATTGTACATGTTACCTCAGTCTCTATTATTTGCTAATATGTTGTGATACTTGATGTGGGTTGTGTTCCCTTATTTGTTAATGATGGTGAGGCTAGTGAGGTACATGACTGAGTGAGGCCGAGGGCCTGGTTGTGAGGATATTAATATCATAGCTCGTGAGTTGTCTGCGTAGTACATGAGTTGACCGTGCAGGTCCAGGTATTTATACCATAGCGCGTGAGGTGTCCTGTAGCACGTGAGTTGACCGTGCGGATCCAGGTATTGATATGATGGCCAGGTTGTGAGGATATTAATACCATAGCACGTGAGTTGTCCGCGAAGCATGTGAGTTGACCGTGCGGGTCCAGGTATTTATACCATAGCACGTGAGTTGTCCACGTAGCACATGAGTTGACCGTGCGGATCCAGGTATTGATATGGTAGCACGTGAGTTATCTGTGCTTAGCGCTTGCGCTTTGGGAGCCGCTCCGGAGTCTGTACACACTCCCAATGAGCACAAAGTGTGAGTGTATTGAGTGTTGAGTGCGAATGCTGAGTGATGGAGTGACATTACTTTAAAGTTGCATTTACTTTTGCTGTTGTTGCATTTATCTGTTAAATTTCTTTGTGGTATTTACTGAGTTATGGAATTTACCTATTTATTCATGTTTATTTTTAAAAAATTGTAAAAATAAATAATTGGACTATTTTACTTAGCTCGTCACTACTGCTCGATTCCTTAGTTATTTCAGTTACTACTGATTTGGTTGTAGTTATACTACACCATGCACTTTATGTGCAAATTCAGGTGAGTTAGAGCGCGGCGATCGTTGAGTTCAGGCCGCTATTTGTGGAGATTGCAAGGTAGCTGCTAGTGTCCGCAAGACCTTGTTACTCCTGATCTTGTCATTTCTTCTTTTGGATGGATAGATAGTTTATATATCTTAGTTTATTATTTTAGACGCTCATGACTTAGTGACACCCCGATGTTTGGGGCTCGTTTCCGTATTTTTCTATATTATATTTAGAGTTGATTTAGTTTATGAAAATTTTAAATGTTGAAATATTTTATTAATTTCGTATAATCGGTTTAGTAGTAATATTTTAGGAAATAGGCTTGCTTTGTACCACGATAGGCGCCATCACGACTATGTTTAGAGTTTGTGTCGTGACAGATCCCCAGTAGGAATGCTTGTTTGCATCATGTGCATTTGACTTTGGGGATTCAACACAGGGGTTGGGTCTGTCTTGGACAAGTGTACCCAAAAATCAAAAGATCATCCTGATGCATTTTTACGTGCTACGTACATTTATTTGCTTCGGTTTGCATGCTAACCGGTTTCTAGAATAGGGAAAAAAAGTCAAGAAAAACCAAAATTGAGGTGAGAGAGAGAGAGAGAAAATCACCCGTTTCTGAAAAAAACCTGGTGATCAAAATATCTCGAAACTCTGCCAAAATTTTGAAAAAAAAAAGAAAGAGAAAAGAAGAGAAAAGTCATTTCAAATTAAGTCATGCTTTCCTTTTACAACAAATTGACCGAACTACGCGGGTTTGATTCTCACCGGATGTGAGATACGTAGGAAACCCTCATCGGGTCCAGACCCACTTTTGCAAAAATAACAAAAAATATGAAATGTTATCATTTTTGTCATAAATAAAGTTAGGTGATGCCGTTTTTATCCAAATAGCCAGAAACGTCCCGACGGGACACCGAAAGGCCGTTTTTGCAAGAATAGCCACCAACGGTCCCTTTATCAATTTTTGGCCACCTAGCAAACACAGCCCTAAAATTTTCCATTCTGAAGTGTTGAAGGGTCGTATTTGCAAAAGTAGCCATGATTTGTTTTAATTTGAATTATTGCAAAAAATAACCTTTTGATCAGTTTTATTTTCTTTTTAAAACAAAACAAAAGCTCACATGTTTTAACCCAATCACCCTAATCTAAATGTGCAGAATGAGCACGATTCAGAATTTACCTGTGAAGGTTATGACTGAGATTCCATTGGCACTCCACATGTGGTGGGAGGATTTGGGAAAATAGGGGCGAGACAAGGTCAACCACTACCTGGGGGCACTCACTGGATTATTGAAGATTAAGCCTAGGAGTGATGTAATAGAGGCATTAGTAACATTCTAGGACCCTGCTCACAACGTTCTGCATTTCTCAGATTTTGAGCTTACACTTACCTTGGAGGAAATGGGGGGTTATGTTGGGAGTACAGAGGGTTTAAGATACAAATACTTGATAACTACAAGGGCCATTACTCCCACAAGTTTCTAGACTTATTGAAAATAAGCAGGCAGATCTAGAATGCAGATGTGGCAGAGGGATTTTCCACTTTACACTTTTTATTCCAGTGATATGGGCATTTAAGAGGATTGGAGGACCTAGAAGGTGGACTTTGCAGTAACGAAAACCGATCAAAGTGGGAAATACATAGATGCTTTGCTTTCATGGTGGCATTTCTAGTCCTCTTAGTGCTTCCAAGGTACGATATGAATATTGATCTGCGTGTAGCTAGAGTCGTCTATGTTTTGACTATTAATACCAAAAGCACCCTCACACCCATGATCGTATCAGAAATATTCTGAGCTCTCACAGCCTATAAGGCCAAAATAATATTTTTTGAGGGGTGCAATCTGTTATTGCAAATGTGGATGATTGAACACCTTTGTCACTGTCCCCAATACATGAACTGCGGATCTACGAGACAAACCTACATCGAGGAGTTTGGTACATGGGTGACTGGATTTGAAATGCCAGAAGGGGTCAAAGATTGGATATCCCACCTTCGTTCAATAATTGCGGATCAGATAGAGTGGATACTGGTTGGCTTCCGGTTGATGAGATTGTATATATGCCTGCCACCAGTCCCTACTTCCTGCTAATGGGTCTCCGAAGCATCCAACCCCATGCCTCATACTGGGTTTTGAGTCAACTTAGAAGATGTCAGATAGTTCCCAAAAATGAAGATCTTAGTATTCACGTAGTTGATATCTGCTTCGAGGCTCAATTTCCTGAAGAAGTGGTTCGCCGAATTTGGAGCAAATACCAGTATTTGGCGGCAAAAATCTGAGTGCGTGATTTATCCAGGGGTGAGCTTTCGCCTGGTTATCTTGCTTGGTATGGGAAGAGAGTCACGGCAAATGATGAATCTCAAAGACCAACCAAAAGGCCCCACATCCAAGAATTCGTTGACGCATCACAAGAACATTAGGCTTTGTTAACCAAAGAGAATGACTATAGGGCTACTATAAGCAAATTAGAAGGGAAAATCAGAAACATTAAATGTGATAGTGGTTTGCAAGCCACTGTGGCTGAAGGAGAGAAGAAAAGTTTGGCCTGATAAAAATGAAGTCCTCCGAGCTCAGATTCAGAGGATAAAAATGACTGGTGAAAACCTTGGAAGAAGCAAGACAGATGAAAAACTCATAAACGGTTAGGCGAAAAGTGTGTGATTATAGGGGTGGTTTGGAAAAGGCCGAAGATGAATTGGCAAAAGCCCAGACGAAGTTGGAAAAGAATGCAGAAGAATGGGCGAGGTTTGTTTAGTAGTTAAAGGAAAAGTACGACAAAGGAGTCACGAGTTTAAAAAAAAACTGACTACTCTTGAAAATGAAATGGCCCAGCAAACAAAGAACTTCAAAGCGGAAAGAGCATTGATATGCATTGATGTCTCGATTGGAAGAGGACATGCAGCAATTGCAAGAGCAAAACCATATGGCCATATCGGTTTTGGAGGCCATGTCTCAGCATATTGGACGCCTACTCCAATAGAAGAGCGTCATTAGAGAAAGGATTAAAGGAATTGATGATTATGTCGTAATGAAATGCCATGAATGCCAGGATATGACCAGGTCCATATTCTTTGCCGCTGGGATGACTTTTGTCTGTTAGATAATGGACGACCTAGATCGTCTCCAAGAAGATATCACACACAGGCTCGCGTCGAGACCGACTGATGTCCTGCGGGCCCTGGGGTAGTGTTAGAGGCTCTTATGTATTGCTGATTTTCTTTTTTGAGTCTGTATTTCACTTTTTTGACTCTGTTTTATTTTTTAGTTCTTAAGTCTGTATGTCAGAGTCTTTCTAATAGAGAAAAACAAAAAGGTTTTATTTAATGAAATATTGAAAACGCAAAAAAATTCTTTCTTTTATTTTGCATTTATCCCTCCACTATGTAATGATCTGATTCATGCAGCGTCGTGATACGTAAGAAATTCCCATCAAATCTGATCATAGCTATAGACAACTTGAGTGAGAATAAAAAAACAAAAGAAAAAGAAGGGGAAATAAAAGAGCACAAAGAAACAAAAGATTCAGATTTGGAAGTTGATAAAAGAAGAGCCGGGATGAGACACGCAGCCGTTGCAAAAACATTTAGAAAAAACGTTTAACTATATAGGTGCATTGCATTACCCAACGTGCGATTCCCTAAGTGTTAAAAATCTCAAGTTAACTGATTTGTTGTGTATGCTGTTTAAGAACAAGTTCTGTTTTTAGGTGGTTGGTTTTGTAGTAACCTGGCTTCACACCCTTATTTCACAAGATCTAAAGGGAGTGTCGCAATGACATCAGTGAGTCATCTACCAATCATTAACCCCTCAGAGGATAGCCCGACATCGGTTATCCTGGCCTAAGAGTCAGCAACTGCTGAAGAAAATAGAATATTGCGTCTCTGCATGTTGGAGATGTGGGACACTTGGTCTAATGATAGAGAACCGCCCAGTTCAATCTCTGGATTTCCCGAATAGATTCCCAGAACAAGTGGAACCTCCAACGTCCCTATTCCTGTAACCAACCCGTTCATCGCGTTCGGGTACCCCACTATGTCAGCTAATTTCACCGGTACGCCTTCTGATGATCTCCCCCAAGCACCATTTTCGGGAGTATCTTCTACAATATTTACACTACCAGTCTCTACTACGGCACAACCAATAGTGCCTATGCCATGTTTCGTACCGTCAGCCTTCACTTTCCAAGTACCACAATTTCAACTAGACACGGCTCATGTCACCCCAAACTCCTACCCTCAGCACCCCCGATATGAGTCTCCCATAGAACAGGAAAGAACTGTGAAGAACCCCGAGCAAGAAGAGATAACTCGAAAGATGAAAAGCATCGAACAAAGTCTTAAGAACATGCAAGGCCTAAGTGGCCAAAAATGTGTCTCGTATGTTGATCTGTGCATGTTTCCTCGCGTTCATCTGCTTGTTGGCTTTAAAATGCCAAAATTCGAAAGATATGATGAGCATGGAGACCCGATCACCCATTTGAAAAGATATTGCGATCAGCTGAGAGGGGCGGGCAGAAAGAAAGAACTTTTGATGGCCTATTTCGAGGAGAGCTTAACCGGAATTGCGTTAGAGTCATATATGGAACAAGATATCTCCCATTGGCACATGTGGGATGATATGGCCCGGGATTTTGTCAGACAGTTCCAGTACAATGTGGACATAGCTCCGAACAATTTTTTTTTGTCCAACCTCAAAAAGAAATCTTCAGAAAGCTTCCGAGAATATGCTATCAAATGGCGTGAACAAGTGGCCAGGGTGAACCCCCCCCCCCCCAATGGATGAGGCCAAGATGGTCAGTGTCTTCTTATTGGCCCAAGAGGCCAATTATTTCCAAAACATGATGTCTGCCATGGGCAAACCATTTGCAGAGGCCATAAAGATTCGAGAAATGGTAGAAAATGGCTTGAAAACAGGTCCCATCATGAGTTAATCAGCTATAAGAGCCACTTCCCAAGCCATCCAGAGCGGTTTGGGAGGTTTAGCAAACCGGAAAAAGAAAGAAGAGGGGGCCATGGTGGCTTCAAGGTTGAGGAATTCTCGCCAATCCCGAGGTTACTTTGGTTCCTCTCCCAAGCCTCCGCAACATTACTGCCCCCACCAGGATGCACCATATGCTATGGCTCCTCGTCCTTATGAAGTAATGAACGCCCACCCATACACTCGCCCACAACAATATTACAATCTGAACCGAGCTCCACCTCCAAGAAAAAACCCTCCTCGCCAAGCCTCATATAATTCATGTCCACCACATAATAATTACCAATATAACACCTGTCCCCGTGAACCACCGAGAAAAGCTAACTTCACGCCCATTGGTGAGTCATATTCTAGCCTCTTCCCAAAATTAGTCCAAATGGGCCTGTTACAGCCTGTACCTCCAAACAGGCAGAACATAAAATCTCCATCCTACCGTCTAGGTACCAGGTGCGCTTATCACTCAGGAGAGGAAGGGCATGACACTGAAGATTGTTGGACCATTAAGAGAGCAGTCGAGAATATGATAGAACGGAAGCGGGTAGTGTTGCGGGACAAGAAAGCCCCCAATGCAACTAACAACCCATTGTCGACTCACAATAAGGGGCCGATCATTGGGATGATCTGTGAGGACAAAGAATTTGACAGATCTTTGAAAGCTATTATTGCTATATGTCGACTCGGAAAACAAACTCAAACTGGTGGCAAAACAAGCTAGAGATGAGAAGAAGATCAATTCCACTCCCCAAAATGCATAAAAGGCTGTGGAAACAAAGTCAGGGGTAACACCTTCGAAAGATGTCATTCTCTATGTTCCCAGGGCCCCCAGAAAGGAACGATTCATATTGAACCCTCCCAAAAGACTTGAGCAAAACAAAGTCACGCTGAATGCATCAAAGCTATACGTGCCAAAGGGGATTTATGTGGTGTAGGGACTGATAACTTCACCAAGGCTGACTGAGCCCGTGGTTATCAACAGCACACTTGAGAGTCCCATGAAAGACCCCATTGTCGTACCTTGGAACTACAATAAGGCAGTGGTCACATACAAAGGAAAGGAAATCATGGGAGAAGTAAATGAAATGAACCAATCTAGGAAGTATCTCAACCTAGAAGAATTGAACAAAACAAAGCAGAAACGATTTCCAATTAAGAAGCCGGTTAGTGCTGAAGAAGCGGAGGAATTTTTCCGAAATATGAAAACCTCGTAGTTTTCTATAATTGATCAACTTAGAAAGACTCCCCCCTTAGGTCTCACTTTTGTCCCTGTTGATAGGCTCAAATGAACATCAGAAAGTGCTGATAAAGACGCTAAATGAGGCGTATGTTCCGGTTGAGACCACGATCGAACAGTTGGAAAGAATGGCAGAGCAATTTTTTGAAGTCAACCGAATCTCCTTCAGCCGAAATGACTTGCCTCCAGAAGGAGCCACCCACAACAAAGCCCTTCATTTGACTGTCAAGTGTGAAGGATGATATGTGGAAAGGGTTATGTTGGACGATGGATCTGGAGTTGACATTTGCCCTCTATTAACCTTATAAAGGATGGAAATTGGGATTAAAAGGATTAGACCCAACAATGTTTGCATACGTGCTTTCGACGGTGTCAGGCGGGATATGATAGGGGAGACTGATTTGGTCCTAACTATTAGCCCTATAGATTTTGAAGAAACATTTCAAGTTTTCGACATGGACACTTCTTATAACTTTCTCCTAGGAAAGCCATGGATCCATGTCGCGGGAGGCGTGCCCTCTACTCTCCACCAAATTGTCAAGTTCGAACATGAAAATCAAGAAATAGTGGTGCACGGGGAAGATGAACAATCAATCTACAGGGACTCGTCAGTCTCATGCTTTGAGGCTAGAGAGGGTAGTGAACTCATCGTCTACCAAGCTTTTGAGATCGTGGTCGCAGACCAATGCAAGGAAGGAACCCTATGTCCTCAACCCTACTTATCAAACGCATCAATCATGGTTGCTAGTAAAATTATCAAACATGGGTACAAGCCCGGGAAAGGGCTCGGGGTATCCTTATAAGGCATTACAGAGCTTATCACTTTGACTGCGAGCGAGAAGTTCTTTGGCATAGGCTTTCAAGATACAAAGGCCGACGTAAATTGGGATGATGAACATAAGAACAATGGGTGGGCCTTGCCTCAGCCGGTCCCGCACCTCACCAGGATGTTTGTTAAGCCAAGGTATATAGAAGAAGAAGAAGAAGAAGAAGAAGAAGAAGAAGAAGAAGAAGAAGAAGAAGAAGAAGAAGAAGAAGAAGAAGAAGAAGAAGAAGAAGAAATTGAGGATATTTGTGGGGCAATGAGGCAAATGTTGTACGAGGTTCACATGGTCCAACTGGGTGAAGGCTCAAGCACTGCTGAGGTGCAATATATGGGGCCAAATGCTAAACTTCAAAATTGGAAGGTTACTTCATTCACAGTTAGGCGGGAGTCCCGGTAGTTCAGTCTTGCCATCTTTTCTGCATTTCGAGTTATTTTAGGGTGTAACTCGAAGATTTTTAGATTATTGTCTTTCAAATTCTAATGTAAACCCTCATATCTTCAAATTAAATTAAATAAAATCAATATTTCATCGTCTATTAATCTCTTTCCATTATTTTTTCTAATTTTTGTTATTTTTCTTATCTCTATCTTTTTAGTTCTAATAATGTGTACTTAAATAATATGACATGCTTGCGGACTTCATGCCCAGATCCTAACACGCTGTCTAATTGTGAAATAACAAGTCAAGAACCAGAATATGATAAAAATGAGGCTTTTAGGAAAATAAATCAAGAACTGGAACAATTTTAGAATAAGCCTAAGCCAAATTTAAATAAAACCGAGCCAGTTAATTTGGGTAGTTCGGAAGAGGTCCAGGAAAACATGATAGGCATTCATGCTGATAAAAGAACTAGAGATGCATTGATCCAACTCTTGTTTGAATTCAAAGACATGTTTGCATGGTCCTATAATGATATGCCAGGACTGGGTGTTGATTTGGTAGTGCACAAATTGCCAACTTATCCCGGTTATCCACCTGTCTAACAAAAGCAGAGAAAGTTTAATACAGACATCAGTGACAAGATCAGAAAAGAAGTCACCAAACAGTTGAAAGCTGGTGTGATCCGAGTGGTCCGATACACCACATGGTTGGCTAATGTGGTCCTAGTGCCAAAGAAAGATGGGTAAACCCGAGTGTGTGTTGATTATCGGGATTTGAACAAAGCAAGCCCCAAGGACCACTTTCCATTACCAAACATCCACATTCTTGTTGACAATTGTGCCAAACATGAGATACAGTTTTTCGTGGATTGTTATGCTAGGTATCACCAGGTTCTGATGGATGAAGAAGAAGCAGAAAATATGGCTTTCACCACACCCTAGGCACTTACTGTTATAGGGTCATGTCGTTTGGTTTAAATAACTCATGACAAACTTACATGAGAGCTATGAGTGCCATCTTTCACGGCATGATGCACCAGGAAATTGAGGTATATGTGGACGATGTGATCATTAAATCCAGAATGTAGGATGACCATGTGCAGGATCTGAGAAAGTTTTTTGAGCATTTGCGTAAGTATGACTTGAAGTTGAATCTAGCTAAATGAGCATTCAGAGTTCCATCTGGGAAACATTTAGGTATTATAGTCAGTCGGAGGGGCATCGAGCTAGATCCAACAAAAATAAAGTCTATTCGGGATTTTCCCCCTCCGAGAACCAAGAAAAAGGCCATGAGTCTACTGGGAAGATTGAATTACATCATCAGGTTCATTGTTCAGCTGACTACCACGTGCAAGCCCATATTTAAGCTATTGAAGAAAGATGCGGCAATTAGATGGACGGATGAGTGCCAAGAAGCTTTCGACAAAATCAAAGAATATATGTCGAATCCACCAGTGTTGGTACCCGAGCCTGAGAGACCTTTGTTCTTGTACCTTATAGTCTTGGAAAATTCTTTTTGTTTTGTCCTGGGGCAACATGATGTGACCGGGAATAGAGATCAAGCCATATACTATTTGAGCAAGAAGTTCACTAGTTATGAAGACAAGTACACTTTGTTGGAAAGAACTTGTTGCGCCCTAACTTGGGTCGCCTAGAAGCTTAGACATTATTTGTCGGCCTGCACCAAATATCTCATAACCAGAATGGATCCTTTGAAATACATATTCCAAAAGCCGATGTCCATATGAAGGTTAGAAAAATGGCAAATTCTGCTTACCGAGTTTGAGATAGTTTATGTCACCCGCACGGTGGTAAAAGCCCAAGCCTTGGCGGATCACCTAGTTGAGAATCCTGTTGATGATGAATATCAACCCTTGAGCACTTACTTTTCGGACAAGGAAGTAAATTCAGTTGAGGTAATTGCAGAAGACACCAATGCCTGGAAAATGTTCTTTAATGGAGCTGTAAATGCAAAAGGTATCAGGATTGGGGAAAATTTTATTTCACCCACTGGTCAACACTATCCGGCCACAGCCAGGCTTCGTTTCTTCTATACGAATAACACTGCCGAGTATGAAGCTTGCATTATGGGCATGAATATGGCAGTTAATCTGGATGTGGGAGAATTGTTAATCATGGGAGATTCTGACTTGATTATTCGTCAAGCTCAAGGTGATTGGGAAACTCGAGATATCAAGCTTATCCCATACAGGCAACATATAGAAGATCTTAGCAAATGGTTCAAGTCGGTCGAGTTTAGGTATATTCCTCAGTTTCACAATGAGTTAGCTGATGCACTGGCTACTTTGGCCTCAATGTTGCCGTATCCGGGCAATGTCCATATTGACCCACTGGAAATCCAAAATCGAGAAAGACATGGTTATTGAAATGCATGTGAAGTAGAACCGGATAGTCAGCCATGGTATCATGATATCAAAAGATTCTTGAAAACAAAGGAATATCCCGAGTAAGCCAATGGAGACCAAAAGAGAACCATTAGAAGGCTCACTAGCAATTTCTTCTTGAGCGGAGAGGTCTTTTACAAAAGAACTCCAGATTTGAATATTTTAAGGTGCGTAGATGCCCAAGAGGCTGGAAAAATCATGAACAAAGTGCACTCGGGAGTATGTGGGTCCCACATGAATAGATACGTCCTTGGAAAGAAAATCCTTCTGGCAGGTTATTACTGGATGACCATGGAAAATGATTGCTTGAGTTTTGTCCAAAAGTGTCATCAGTGTCAGGTACACGGTGACCTGATTCATGAACCGCCTTCAGAGTTGCAACCTATGTCAGTACCTTAGCCGTTCGTTGCTTGTGGAATGGATGTCATTGGGCCGATCAAGATGAAAGCTTCAAATGGGCATAGATTCATCTTAGTTGCCATTTACTATTTCACAAAGTGGGGTGAGGCAGTCACTTTCAAAGCCGTCACCAAGAAAGCGGTGGTGGACTTCGTGCATTCCAATATTATTTGTCGTTTTGGTATTCCTAAGACTATCATTACAGACAATGCTGCAAACCTGAACAGCCATTTGGTGAGGGAGGTATGCGAACAATTTAAGATCACGCATCGGAATTCTACCCCTTATAGGCCCAAGGCTAATGGTGTTGTTGGAGTGGCAAACAATAATATCAAGAAGATCCTCAGGAAAATGATTTAATGTTCTAGACAATGGCATGAAAAGTTGCCTTTTACATTATTGGGATGTTGCACAACCGTGCACACATCAGTTGGGGCAACACCTTATTTATTGGTTTATGGCACTGAAGCTCT